GATCAACGGCTGAGAGAAAGGGTTGCACGCGGTTGCCAGCTAGGCCTCGTCGGCTAATGGGTGGGTCATATAGGGCCCTTTCTCTCTCCCTGATGCTTACCTCGGAGATCATAAATTCTATCGTTAATCGATTGCGTGCACGGCCTCTCGAACTGCGAAGGCCAAACATAGTCCTCTCAAAACAGATTTCATTTGGATCCTCAAGATCCTCGAGAACGCAAAAGTTGGGGGTGGTTCAGCGGCAAGGCGGTGGCGAATTAAGCAAGGCGAATTATTTTTCCTCTATCTCATTATAAAATTCATGTTTATTAGGCTAAGGTAATTTTATACATTTACTTTTTCCCCATCCCTGTTTCCCCTTACTTTGCTAGAAATTCAATTTTCCTTCTTGGCTTACTTATCTACCAACTAGATGCTAGGTTAAACGATTGAAAATGAAAAACTTAAACTAGTAGCGCGGGGGCAATGTATTCCAAAGTAATGTATCTTAGAGTTAGCTTAAATTAGGGAATTAACGAATAATATTTCATTTCATGTATCTCTCTTCATGTATCTTTCTCTACTCTCCGAATAATAAAATAAAAATTGCACCCTCAGCTCTTCTGCACCGCTTCGTGGTGAAAGGCTTACTGCGCCTGGCGTATGTGGATTCGCTGCGTATCTGCGCGTTTTTCTATAATGGACTCAGCCGTCTTTTTCCGCGAGCTAGCATTACATAAGAACGGTTCGGCTATGCCCTGGTTACATTTTAGGATCGGGCTCTTTATCGGATCACTCGCGGTGTCTATGGCGAAGGCAACCGTCCACTTGGTGGACCCCCTTCGGCCGGGAATCGGACGATGCGGTAGTTTGACGACCGGAATGTTCCGCGTCGCTTCGATTGGCTTTATGTAAAACTACTCGTACTCACTCACCCCTTTGTCCGCGACGAGCTGGTTGAAGCGCTTCCACGTGCTCGAAGCTGGAAAGGAAATATCTCGGGAAAGCTTTCGCTAACCCGTTCACACAAAAAAGATCTTCACTTAATTAGCCAATCGAAATCTTTATTCGGAGCGGAACCCTCCGCTCACCAACTCCGCACAGTTCTTCGTGGCACCACGAGGCCACCAGTTGGATCGATTACGCTCCCCTTTTTCTTGCGGCGGAGCGTTCCTTAAAATCGCCGCAAACGCTCCGAGCCTGGCTCCCGGGCTCGCTCGCCCCGGACCACAATCAGCTCCAGCTCCTCCGGCGTCTGCTCCGACCGTGCTCCCCGGTAGGAACCCAGTCCTTTCGCGGCCGCGCCTCGTGGGCGGTTTCGCGCCGCGCTCCGTCTCAATATGCGCCGTCGACTGCTCCACTGGGAACTTCGCACGACTCCACCGTCTCTCCTCACGACCGCCTCGTACTCCTTGTACCAGGCCCTCCGTCCTAAAAAGCCAAAATTATACATCGGACCTGATCGACCCTGACCTAACCTCACCACTCACCGACACTACGATCCGTGACCTGCCTCACTTTAGCGCCGACCTTTTGGGCGCGTCTGCCCACAAGCTGCGCTTCTATTTTGCTGCTGTGATATGCTGGTGACTTTCGAAGGTACTTGTTCTCCACCTTGCCGGTGCGTTGAACTTCTTTGGGTCACGCCAGAAAACTTCTTGGATGAACTTCTTTGGGTCACGCCAGAAATGCAAAAGAAAGTGCTGTACCCGCTCGGATTCCTGCTTCTAGCTTCCAGCTTCCAATAACGGTTTTACACCGGTTGCCAGACCTCCGGACATTGGAAACGCCTAACCCTTGCTATGGTCCTACTAAAGCATAAGGTACCCAGATCGGTTGCCATCTCCCCTCCCCGGGGTTGCCACCTACACTGATCTAACGCCGACGTTACAAAGTGCCCCCTTCGCAAGAGCTAGAACAGGGTCTCACCCGATCCTGTTTAGCTAAACCACGGAGGCGTAGACTATTGTTTTAAATCTTTGGCGTGGTAAGTGCCTATTGCTCTCCCTTGCATGTCCTCCAGCTCGTAGGTTGCATTACCCGTTCTCTTACGAACTCTCGCCTTAACGTATCTTGGGCCAAGCTTGGCGTTGTAACCCGCCGCAAAGTTGCTTTGTTTGAAGTTCCTACGATAAATCTCTTGTCCTTCTCGATACGTCACCTCTCTGGACCGTGCGTTGTACCGCCTTTCATTCTTCTCCGATTGCTTCGCTAAAACCTTCTGAGCCTGGGCCCGTACTAAATCCAACGAATCCTCCCGGGATAACCGAAATCTCTATCCTCCAAGAGCCCTAGCTCCCTCATGAGCTTGTACGATCCTCCTGATCCCACAAACTGTTGCCCGAACACTAAATAATATGGGGTTGCGCCCGTACCGGAATGGACTGAAGTCCTTAACGCGCAGCAGATCTCACTGAGGTGTTGATCCCAATTCCTTTGGTCTTCTCTCACGTAGGATCTTATGGCTGCGATGATGGACCTATTCACCCTTTCGGATGCATTAGCCTGCGGCGAGTGGACGGCTGTAAAAATCTGCGTCACCCGATTCTCCCGCATTAGCGTTCTAAACGCTTCGCCCTTGAATTGTGTCCCATTGTCCGAGAACACCGTTTCCGGAACTCCAAACGTATGGAACAACTCCTGCCTCATATACTTCACTACTACATCGGCCGACAGCCTTTTTACCGCCTTGAGGAAAACGAATTTAGTGTAGTGGTCTAGTGCGATAAATATTCCGATATTCCCACTCTTGGATCTCGGATACGGCCCTAAAAAGTCCACATAAATTCTCTGGAAGAATCTCTGCGTCTCTGCTGGCCTTCCCATCGCGGGTCTCGTTATTTGGTTGGGTACCTTACACGCTTTGCAAACCTCACAGTTGCCTACGTAGTCCTTTACGTCCCTAACTAATCCTGGCCAGTAGTACATCCGTCGAATCCTCTCCAGCGTTTTATGGATCCCTCCATGGGCTGCTGTGGGACTGTCGTGGGCTTCTTTCATTACCTCCGGGATCATCTCGTTTGGCACCCATAACTTCCACGCGAAACTCTCGCCTAGCCCTACTCCCTGATCCTGTTTCGCCCGCCGGAAAACCTTCCCTTCCATGACTTTCAAGTCTGGCACCGTTTCCCTATTAGCTTCGACCGTGTTCCTTAGAGTCCTATACTCATCCGTCTCGAAAAATGGAGATTCATAGTCCATCCCTAAGCCGGCGACTACCTCCTCCTCTGCTTCTCCTTCATACGCCCTAGACAACGCGTCAGGAACTACATGAAGTTTGCCTTTCCGATGTTCTATTTTGAATTTATACGCCTGCAGTTTCGACGCCCATCGTCCCAGCCGAGACCTTAAGTCTGGTTGTGCCATGAGCCACTCTAACGATGCGTGATCTGTAATCACCGTAAATCTGTGTCCCTCTACGTAAGGTCTGAACCGCTTAATACAAATAATCGCGGCCAGGCATTCCTGTTCCGTGACGGAATAGTTCCGTTGGGCCTTGCTCAGCTTCTTCGAAACGAAGGCAATTGGGTACTCGTCCCCTTTCTCTCCTTCCGTCTTCTGAACCAATACTCCGCCGATCCCATAACTGCTTGCGTCGCAGTGGATGTAGAACGGTTTCCTAAAATCCGGACTATGCAAAACCGGAGCCTGACACATTGCGTTTTTAAGTTTTGAGAATGCCTCCAAACCCGCCTGCGTCATCGTAAAACGACATTTGGGTCTCATCAAATCGGTTAGAGGTGCTGCTATATCCGCATAGTTACTTATAAATTTGCTATACCATCCGGTCATGCCTATAAAACTGCGTAACGCCTTCAATGTCCGCGGAACAGGGTAATCTACCATGGCAGATATCTTCTCGGGATCTGTTCTTATGACGCCTTCCCCGATCACATGCCCTAGATACTTAACAGTTCTCATGCAGAAATGGCTCTTTTCGATATTCAGCGTTAGCCCCGCTTGCTTTATGTGCTTCGCCACCGACGTCAGGACCGCTAGATGCGATTCGAAAGTGTCGGATACGACGAGCAGGTCGTCCAAATACACGAATACCTCGTTCCGTAGCGCGGCCGGAATAACTTTATCCATGAGGCGCGTCATGGTTTGAGAAGCATTCATGAGCCCGAAAGGCATGACCCTAAACTGGTAAAGAGGCTTCCCAGGAATGGTAAACGCGGTCTTATCGCGTGAAGCTGGTTCCAGCGGGATCTGCCAGTAAGCGTCCTTCAAATCCAAACTCGAGATGAACATCGCTTTAGGAAGTCTGCTTAGGATTGCGTCTATCTGTGGTAGTGGATAGGCATCGCCTTGGGTGAAGCTATTCACCTTTCTACAGTCCAAACATAACCGGACTTTGCCCGGCTTCTGCACTAGCACTACCGGCGACGACCAAGCACTCTGCGATTCTTCGATCACCCCTAGCTTCATCATTCTCTCGACCTCTCCGTAGAGCAGCTTCTCTACTGCCGGAGACACCGGATAATGCCTCTGCTTTACCGCTTTCGTCTCTCCAACGTCGATACTATGGCTAATCAAATGGGTTTTTCCCAAACCTAGCTTGGCGAAGGATGGAAACAGCTCTATCACCGCCTGTAAACTCGTTTGCTGGGCTTCGGACAACTCCTGCCTAACCGAAATCTCGCCGATCTGGAACTCCAAGGGCAAAAGTTCGAAACTCTTCCAAAAATCAATACCTAGATACAGATCTTGGCTTAACGTGGGAACTAGGTAAAAGGTATGAGTTTTGCTTAGGCCTTTGAACTCCACATCCGTCGTCAGCTGTCCCACAACCTGTTGTCGTTGACCATCAGCCGTGCTCACTGTTGTTCCTTTCCGCTTGAAGTCTGCCTTGCTTTTTATGAACCTTTCTGCGAAACTCCCTCCGATACAACTGACCGCTGCCCCGGTGTCAAGCAGACCCAGGACTACTTCTCCTAACAATCTAACTTCTGCAAATGGACGCTTGTAGTTTTATACCTTATTGTTTCTATTTTCCTTAACGAATTCCAATATTGCCTTAACCTGTTAGTGTTTCTAGACCTAATCTTATCGTCTACCTTGGCCTTACTATGCTCTCCTTCGCGAAGCTCGTTGTGGGGTGGACGGTCCGGTGCATTCGCTTTCCCGTTTTTTTGACATTTCGGACAAGATGGCTTATACACGTTAGGTGACCCGCATCCAAAACAGAAGACTTTCCGCTTTCCCGCGCAGTCGTGATACCTGTGACCCTCCTTCCTGCAATTCCAGCAGATGAGAGCCACAGCCTCCACTTCGTCTGCTTCTTCGTCCGTGAACTCTTGGGCCTCTTCCCATTCCAGATCACTGCCTAACTCCGCTACCGCTTTGCCGGATGCATAGCCCCTATGCGAGCCTTTGTCTTCTCGTCTCTGGGTTTCTCCATATGCCTTCTTTGTCCAACCCGGCTTTGACGAGCTGCTATCTCGACGCACTTCCTCTAAAAATCGCTCACGACGCCTGCAAACTTCTCGTAAGTGGCCTATCGAACGTATTGATACATTCAGCAACTCGTGGCGGATCTCGGACCTGAGATTTCTTCTAACCATTTCTACTAGGGTGGCTTCGCTCAAGGGAACACTCAACCCATCCATCAGCTGCTCTACCGCCTCGTAAAATGAATCGAAATCCTCTCTTTCGCGTTGTTTTCGGTCTCTTATTGCTTCGCGTATGTCCTCATCCGTTCTATTGTCCCTGAAATGATTTCTAAGCGCGTCGCACAACTCGCCCCATCTCATCCCTCTATTCAACTTATGGAAACGCCAGTAAAATTCTCCCGCTTTACCGTCGAACAGCAAGCTCGCATTGCCGCACAGAGCTGAGAAATTACTATCCAGTGTTTGGTGGGTCAATGCTTCTATCCGATAGATGAAATTATCGACAGTCATCCCCTCTGGATGTCCGCTAAACCGAATCTTCCAATTGTTTATAATGTGGCCCACCTTATCTGGTCTGTACGCTAGGCTTTGTTCTGCTTGTTGCCTTATACCGTTCCTAAAACTGTAACTTTGATCTTGAATCGCCCCTTCATTATCGTAAATCCCACTGGGTTGTTCGTGGACTCCAGCTCTAACTTCTTCATCCCTTTCTGGACGCTCCCTTTGGTGGAATAGTCTGTCCACCTGTGCCGATAGCTGTTCCAGTAACGTCGCCTGCATGGCGCTCACTGATTGAGACACCAATGCTTGCAGCTCCGCTGTGCTTCCTAGAGATTCTGCCTGAGATCCTGCTTGGCTAGTCCCGTAGTCGTGTCACTTGCCGCTTGGACTTTCTCAAAGCACACTACCTTGCACGTCGGGCATAACGACTTCAACCTGGCATGTGTTGTTATACATGTCTTGTGAAATTCATGCCCGCACTTGGTCCTGGCTCTGCCAGTTGCCATTTCTTTGTTGCATATCATGCAGATGGGCATCTTCATGGGTGTCGCTGCCCCCTTCTCTGCCTCTGCCGGATTCATCCTTTCCTATTTTACTTTCTAAATCTGAAGATACACTAACAGATGCTCTCTCTCTTCGACTACCACAACTCTGATTACTATTAATATGAAACCAAACTTCGCCATCGTTTAACTTGCCTACCGCCAATACACGCTGCCTTTTGTTCTTCTTCTTTCTGCTTTGCTCCTCATTCTGATCTGTTCGGGAGGTGGCTCGAGCAACTCCCCTCTACGCCTCTTCGTCGCCCGTCCCTGCTATTCCCAGGCACCGCGAGTCAACTACGCTATCTCTTAGGACGTGGTCATTCGTAGCTCCTACGACTGAATTCCAAGCGTCCATCTTCTCTACTAGGGGGCGACGGGTCCTAACTGCCAATCTCCAGGCGTGGTCAGACATCAGTTTGCTGACTGATCCTGCTCTCCAAGCGACTGCAGCGTCAGTTATCCCGTCCCTTTGCTCTTGTCACAACTCGCCAGTCATAACTCGTGGTCAGGTTAGTCCTTTCCCTCCTGAAATCCTACGCGAGATACTGAACTGCTACTCCAAACTATTGCTGCGACTGCTGTGGCACCGTGGTCTACCCTTTCACTAAGTGTAGAATTCCATGCGGTACCCGCACCGCTGCTGAGGCTTTTGGTCTGGTTACTACCATGCTACTATAACCAGCCGAAATGAATTGAACGCAAAACATGGCTGCGTTTAGCCATACTGAAAACATGGCCACTAAGTTGGGCGCCAGAAAAATTTATGATAATTATTACTGTAACGAACAGTCAACCTTGTGAGGTGGCATCTTTGGATCAACGGCTGAGAGAAAGGGTTGCACGCGGTTGCCAGCTAGGCCTCGTCGGCTAATGGGTGGGTCATATAGGGCCCTTTCTCTCTCCCTGATGCTTACCTCGGAGATCATAAATTCTATCGTTAATCGATTGCGTGCACGGCCTCTCGAACTGCGAAGGCCAAACATAGTCCTCTCAAAACAGATTTCATTTGGATCCTCAAGATCCTCGAGAACGCAAAAGTTGGGGGTGGTTCAGCGGCAAGGCGGTGGCGAATTAAGCAAGGCGAATTATTTTTTCTCTATCTCATTATAAAATTCATGTTTATTAGGCTAAGGTAATTTTATACATTTACTTTTCCCCATCCCTGTTTCCCCTTACTTTGCTAGAAATTCAATTTTCCTTCTTGGCTTACTTATCTACCAACTAGATGCTAGGTTAAACGATTGAAAATGAAAAACTTAAACTAGTAGCGCGGGGGCAATGTATTCCAAAGTAATGTATCTTAGAGTTAGCTTAAATTAGGGAATTAACGAATAATATTTCATTTCATGTATCTCTCTTCATGTATCTTTCTCTACTCTCCGAATAATAAAATAAAAATTGCGCCCTCAGCTCTTCTGCACCGCTTCGTGGTGAAAGGCTTACTGTGCCTGGCGTATGTGGATTCGCTGCGTATCTGCGCGTTTTTCTATAATGGACTCAGCCGTCTTTTTCCGCGAGCTAGCATTACATAAGAACGGTTCGGCTATGCCCTGGTTACATTTTAGGATCGGGCTCTTTATCGGATCACTCGCGGTGTCTATGGCGAAGGCAACCGTCCACTTGGTGGACCCCCTTCGGCCGGGAATCGGACGATGCGGTAGTTTGACGACCGGAATGTTCCGCGTCGCTTCGATTGGCTTTATGTAAAACTACTCGTACTCACTCACCCCTTTGTCCGCGACGAGCTGGTTGAAGCGCTTCCACGTGCTCGAAGCTGGAAAGGAAATATCTCGGGAAAGCTTTCGCTAACCCGTTCACACAAAAAGATCTTCACTTAATTAGCCAATCGAAATCTTTATTCGGAGCGGAACCCTCCGCTCACCAACTCCGCACAGTTCTTTGTGGCACCACGAGGCCACCAGTTGGATCGATTACGCTCCCCTTTTTCTTGCGGCGGAGCGTTCCTTAAAATCGCCGCAAACGCTCCGAGCCTGGCTCCCGGGCTCGCTCGCCCCGGACCACAATCAGCTCCAGCTCCTCCGGCGTCTGCTCCGACCGTGCTCCCCGGTAGGAACCCAGTCCTCTCGCGGCCGCGCCTCGTGGGCGGTTTCGCGCCGCGCTCCGTCTCAATATGCGCCGTCGACTGCTCCACTGGGAACCTCGCACGACTCCACCGTCTCTCCTCACGACCGCCTCGTACTCCTTGTACCAGGCCCTCCGTTCTAAAAAGCCAAAATTATACATCGGACCTGATCGACCCTGACCTAACCTCACCACTCACCGACACTACGATCCGTGACCTGCCTCACTTTAGCGCCGACCTTTTGGGCGCGTCTGCCCACAAGCTGCGCTTCTATTTTGCTGCTGTGATCTGCTGGTGACTTTCGAAGGTACTTGTTCTCCACCTTGCTTGTGCGTTGAACTTCTTTGGGTCACGCCAGAAAACTTCTTGGATGAACTTCTTTGGGTCACGCCAGAAATGAAAAAGAAAGTGCTGTACCCGCTCAGATTTCTGCTTCTAGCTTCCAGCTTCCAATAACGGTTTTACACCGGTTGAAAGCGCAACACAATTTTTTTTCGTTGTTAAATTTGAGAGCCTGACTTTGAATTTGACTTCGATTCTAACATAAATAATATTAAAAATTTTTTTGACATTTTCATTTGACATTTTCTTTTATATATATAGATATCGAAAAAGTGTAAAATAATAATATCATAAAAAAAAAAAAAAAAATATAACTTTTTATAAAAAAATTAAATTTAATGGAGTAAAAATCGCCAAAAAGTAAAAAAAAAAATTTCCCAATCCGTAATATCCCTTGCTTTATAAGTGGTATAACCTCAAACACGACTTTCTTTTATATATATAGAAGATTGCTATATACAGTATACATATACAGTATTCTTTTATATATATAGATTTAATAGAAATAGTTTTAATATTGATTTCTTACAAATATCAATAGAGAGTGCAGAGGCTCTGGTGGGTGCTTCAAGTTGAGGCAATTTCACTTTCCCGGAAGCGCAACACAATCCTTTTGGTTCGTTGTTAAATTTGAGAGCCTGACTTTGAATTTGACTTCGTTTTCTTGACATTTGAAATTTTCATTTGACAATTTCTTCTTAGCTGTCTGCCTAAATAAAAAGTATGGGCCAGGGAGGAACGCTGTCGAACGGGACAAAAAGTATCCTATGTCCTTTCCTGGCTCTAAGCTACCTCCCCTACCAATTTTCACTCAAATCTGTTCTTCCGTTCTTGATTTATAAGTGGAGTAACATAAAACACGACTTTCTTTTATATATAGATAGATTGCTATATACAGTATACATATACAGTATTCTTTTTATATGTAGATTTAATAGAAATAG